GGGGAGCCCTCACCAGCGCCTGAACACGCTTGTGCCCTAATCTTGAACATCCAGCCTCCAGAACAGTGAGAAGATAAATTCCTATTTAAACCGGCAGTCTGTGGTATTTTATTATGGCAGCATGAGCTGACTAAGGCAATTTGTTAACATCCACAAGGCAAGAATCACTTGCATCTCTACCAATCAAAATTAATTTTTATGTCCATGGGCAAAAATCACTTGCCCTGCTATCACTTTTCTACAACTTACAGAGTTGTAAAATAGCTCAAAGGTGATGAAAGGCACAGGTACCACAGAAAATTGCACTAGACAGGATACCTAGTCATCCTTCCTGCCAGTTTCAAGCTCTATCCTGAGTTTCCCTGACATATCTAAACAACCTACTATAAGCTAATTGCCCTGAAGCTACTCCAGAGAGACCTGCTGTCATCTCTTTTAAGTATTTTTTATTCAAGCACAGGCCTTTTTGTTTGTCTTTATTACAAGCGCGACCCACAGTGCCCAAGCCTCTCCCTGAATGCAGGAGCATTCAGGAGTGGGTCACCCCGATGCCGTCGGAGCACCCAGCCTGGCCTCCAGTCCTCTTCGGCAAACTCTGGCGCCCTCAGGCCCCTCCTATCTTGTTAAAGGGTCCCGGCTGCAGCGTTGTATAAGCTCTGCCACAGGCGCTTGGTCCCATTACGACTAACTGAAGGCACCAGATGCCTTTCCAGCTTTTACCTGGTCGCTCCCTGGACACCACTGACCTCCTTGGCTTCAGTCACTCCCACTGTGAAGCTGTGTATTCTGCCCTACCAGTCACCTCCCTGACAAACGAGGAGAGCAAATGAAAGTGAAAGAGCTATCATTTATTGCGTTCTGATTAGATGCCAAGCTTTTACGTACTTTTCACTCTTTTTTTTTAACTTATGACACTTTTGTTTCTGCTTTGGTACAATAGTTAAAAGTAAAATATACCTCCCCTGAAAGAACCTCTAAAATATAAGACTATTTTCCTATGTGCCCAAAATAATCACATTTAATAAAATTAATACTTTCTTAATAGTATCTCACATCTGGTCCAAATCCAAATTTTCCCAGTTGTCCAAAAAAAGTCCTTTATTGATGGTTTCTACAAACCAGGATCCAGTCCAGGACAGTGCAGCTAGCTGTCATGCTCCTTGAAGTCTTAAGCTGGAAAAATATCCTTTTTTCACTGATTTCTTGAAGAGGCAGGGCTAGTTGTCCCATAAAATGTCATACTTTCTGGATTTGTCCATTGCTTCCTCATGGTGTGTATTTATCTTGTGTGTCTATCTCCTATCTTTCCTCAAAATTGGAATAGCTACAGTCTTGATTCAAGTTGAATATTTTGGGCACCAATCATTAGTGAGGCTTAGAATGATTTTTCGGCCCTCGAATGAAGCCACCAGCAGTTTACAAAACATTGGGCTACATTAAGCCTGAAGTTTATTTTGATGGAATAACCTGCAGTCTTGACCACCAACACACTTCAGAATCCTTGACAACCCATCTACAAAATAACATTTTGGAGTACTTCCTTTCGAAAACAAACTGCCTGTAGTGAATTTGAATTAAAAATGGACTTTCAGCTCACGGGCTCACTTGTTTTTCCCCAGGCAGCGACGGTCGCTGCCAGCAGTGAGCTGGCCACGCACAGCCCAGGGTGAAGGCTGCAGTGAGCAGTTCAGGTCTCCAACGGACCTTTTCCCAGTTTCTCCACCTGTCCTCTCCCAGCAAGCCTTTCTTTATCTTTACGGTTGCTGCTTCTCTGAACCTTTCATGTTTTATTTCCCCCAGGGAGCCCTAAAGTGAACACACTATACCTACCAAATACTCAAGAGACTCAGATCCTTTATTGCATTTCCAGTTGGAGGATCTTAGGAATCAGCAGTTGTGAAATGGATTTACAAATTTGAATCAAGAAGCTTAAATTCATCATACCATTTACCCTGAGGACACATGAAAACTTGGCTTGTAAGTGCTATCATGAGTACTTCATCTTCAGCAATTATCACTCAAGAAATCAATAATGATAATATGATGCTGAGAAAAGCCATTGTAACCACCATCACAGTCATGCTGCACTTAATGAGCCACCTGAACCAGATGTCAACGAAGGTATTTCTGAAACCCAGACGACTTGCAAATCTGTACAAGGAAAAGAAATAACCTTTGGAAGTCAAGTTGAGAAACGTAGGCAGATGTATTAATTATATGTTCATTATCAGTACAAAGCAGGGACAACAGAGGTGGGGCAAGGACACAAAAATGGAGCCTTGGTAAGTCACTTTCCCCAGAGGAAAGCAGAGAGGAGACTACAAATCTCCAACAACTAAGGAGAATTCATGTTGTTCTCACCTAAAATAAGGAAATCCTAACCTCTTACAAAGGCGGATGTACGTTGCTGATCCCCATAAACATATTTATTTATGCTAAAAAGTCTTTTGTTAGAAGGGGCAATAAATTCATTTTATGAACTTATAGGGCAAATCAACAGGTGATATTCTAGGAAGGCAGGTTTCATCTTAATGTCAGGAAGAATTATTTTGATTTTGGCAAAATACACATGATATAAATTTATTACTTTAACCACTTACAAGTGTACAGCTGTGGTATTAAGCACACTCACAGGGATGTGCAACCAATGCCACAGGCCACACCTGAAACCTTCTCATCATCCCAAACTGAAACACAAACACATCAAACAACAACTCCTCATTTCTCTGCTCGCCCCCCAAGCTCCTGGTAACCACCATACGACTTTCCGTCTGTATGACTTTGACTACTACTCTAAGTAGCTCATATAAGCAGAATCATAAATACCTGTCGTTTTGCATCTGGCTTGTTTCACTTCACATAATGTCTTTGAGTTTCATCTATGTTGTAGCATATGTCAGAATTGCATTTCTTTTTAAAGCTGAGTAATACTTCATTTCATATATATCACATTTTGTTTATCAATTCATCCACAGATGGACATTTGGGTTGTTTCCACCTTTTGATTTTTGTGAATATGCTACTATGAACATGGGTGTACAAGTATCTGTTTGAGCCTCTGTTTTGGTTATTGTGGGCATATATATATACAGAAGTGGCATTGCTGGATCATATAGCAATTTTTCCATTTAATTTTTTGAGCAATTGCCATCCTGTTTTCCTCAGCTACTGCACTATTTCACATTCCCACAAGCAACGCACAAGGGTTCCAATTTCTCCACACCCACTGTTTTCAGCTTTTTGATAGCAGCCATCCTGATGGGTGTGAAGGAAAAATTTTTAATAACTAGATCTGCACTACGGTGGGACGAGCGGTCGCAGGAGGCGGGACCGATGGGTGCGCTCTACCCGAGACTGGGCAGGCAGACGGACACGTTCGCTGGGGCAACCTGCGCGCTGTCCAAGCGTGTCTGATCACAAGGCAGGCAGGGCTGGCATCCAGCCCCTGCTCACAAACACCTTTCCCATTGCAAAGTGCAGACCCAGGTGTACAGCTGCCTCTTCTGGGAGGAAGCAGTAACATTTTCTTCTCTAAAAATATTGTCAGCTTTACAGTCCGTGTGCTCCAACGGGCACCTTTTTCTTTTTGTGTTTTTAATGCAAATTAAGGCACTTCTAAAATCTACTGGTTATCCTGGCTGGCTGGCTCTTTATCATGGGGTTGCTGTAGCTAGAACAGATTAATACCTCATACCTACCATTTGGACTAGGTGGCTGGCTATTAAGGCCCCTTGCATGGTGATACTCTGTGGGTCTCTTTGCCGGTTTTACAAAACGCCCCCCCTCAACGCTCTGACACTCCTTGCACTGACCAAGGAGTTTACATTCTCTCACTTTAAATCTGGCATCTGTTTGACAATAGAATTCTGCCAGAGTGACATGGGACACGAAGTTTCCAGGCCCAGACCTTAAGACGCTGGCAGCCCCCACGTCCTATCTGTTGGAACACTCCTTCTTGGCACCTAGCCACCCTGCTGGGAGGAAGCCTAAAGCGCTTTGCAGGGAGACACACATGGTGAAAAACTAACACTCATCACCGAACCCTCTTGGAAGCGGAGCCTCCAGCCCCAGCAAAGATGAGCTGTCCCAGCCAAGACCCACCCAAATTGCAGACGGATGAGTAAAGTAAATGACTGCAGTGGTTTCAGGCCACTACTGTTTTAGGGTGATTTTCTTTAGCTACAGTAGATAACCAGAAGAGTCTGTAACATCACGTGACCAGTTCTCCAAGTGTGCATTTCACAACAGGCCTCACACCAGCAGAACTCCAAGGCGGGGCCTTGTCTAAGGAGCCCTCAATCTTCCTTCACGCGTTGTTGGCAATGGCCTTTGTCCCTCACCTCCTCTCCCACTCCCCAATTTAGGATAAAATAAATCTCTATCACATAAAGATACTGAGAGCCACCTTCTGCCACATCTGTACCCTCACAGTTTGGACTTCCTGAGGAATTCTAGGTTTCTCTGAGCCACACACTGGACCCCTCCATAGACTGTCCAGGGCTCATGCTTTGCCCTGGGCTAGTGTTATGTAGCCTTGGGGGGCTGGCTTCAAGGGGCAAGGTAGGGGAAAAACATACTTGATCCAGTAAACTGCTGTCTGTGTTGGCTTTTTAACTTGCTCTGAGCTAAAGAGCAAGAATACAAACCAAGCAAAGGGGTAGGGAAGGCAGAGGAGAAGCCATGCTTGGGCTCTGGCTGCTTCTGTCTGCAGCAGCTCCATCGCAGATCGAATCTGCGGCAATTCCTAGAAAGGGAATGGGTTTCTCTGCAACGCCTTCCTTGGTTCTCACGCTTGTTAGTTAAACTATCAAGTTAAACTTCATAGATTACCGCCCCCTCCCGCCCCAACTTCATTTCAGGAAGGAAATAGTTAAAACGAGACTCCTGCCCTTCAGGGCCTGGGAGGGGGCGGCAGCTTCGTGTTTTATAGTGGTTGCCTCTGAGGAGGGCTGGAAGCTTAGGACATTCTTGCAGTGCAATAGTGGAGCACGTCTAGGAGATCTTGGAGCAGAAGGGGAGGACAGACAGACGGGGGGCGTGCGTTCCTCCAGAGTTCTTTTTCTCGCTAACCCTCGCGCGCGCGCGCGCGCCCGCGCACATAGTCATCCCTGTGGGCTGGCGATTGTGGCCAGGAGTTGGAGAGGCTCCATCCCAGCCGGTGGCCGGAGGTTGGCTGCTGGGGAGACCTCCGCACCGAAGCGTTCCCAGGAAGTTTTCCGAAGTAGATGCAGCAGTGCAGCCGGGACCGCCGCCGCACAGGAGCCCGCGACCCACGCCACCCACTCTCGCCGGCTCCGCTTCCTCTTGTCCAGGCACCGTGCGCTGACCAGGCTGCTGTCTGCGCCCGCCTAGCTCCACGGTGGGTGCAACTCTTGCCTCTCTGGGGCCAGGCAGGGGTGGGGGAAACGCCTCCCGAACCCCTTGGCTGGGAGGAGAGGGAGCGGGCATCATTGTCGCCCGGCGCCGTGCGCCTTGGGCAACCCTCCACACCCGGGCTGGCACCCACCTGCCCAGGGGCGCGTGGTGGCGCGGGCGCCTTTTTAGGTGGGGTGCACTGCGGAAACGTCTGGGTTTTGGGGAACTGATTAAAAGCCCCTCAGCCTCCCCAAGCGGGATTCGGATTTTTAGTGAAAACAAAATATACAGTTCTCCCTGGCTGTGTCTTTTCCCCAGGCATGCAAGAACTTTGTGGAACTTCATGCCCCGTCTCAGGCTCCAAAGCCTAGTCGTGAAGTGTGTCCTGCAGTCTTTTCTTACTCGCCTGCTTTTGCCAAGGATAGCCAAGGGCACTCGGTGTGAGGGACGGATGTTTTGGAAAACCCCCAGCGCGGCTGGTTTGGAAACCTGCTTGTGGGTGTCTGGGCGTTTGGTTCTCTGCTGTCCTTTAAAGGGCACTTGTTGCCTTTCACATGCAGAAAACTAGGGCTGTTTCTAGATAATCAGCTTCTGTTTACACCATCCTAATGGCGTTCCCCGGGTAGAGTTGGCGGCTGAGGGGGTTGGGTAGGAGGCAAATTAAAGTCAGACTTTGTCAGGAAGGCGAGCTGCTGATTTATTACCCAGCGAGCAAAACCTACAGGAAACTTGTACAGAGTAGCTAGTTTTTTGTTTCTCGTCTTGTAGATGTTTATGGCCTCCTCTGGCCCCCTCCCATCTTTTCTATTTTAAGTGTTACCTGAGAAACGCTTTGACAATCTTTTCAGGTAAAGTAAGTGAGTGCCTTAAACTCAGGCCATTTGGGTAAAGTTGGAATTTCCAAATTATTGTACTAATTACAGGTAGGCTTCGATCCTGAGGATCAGAGGCATTAAATGGTTAAAGTGTAAGCATAAGTGTTCAGTCCCCTTCCTTAATAACAGCTTTTGAACTTCAGCAAATTCTTGGACGCCAAATAGAAGAATGCTAAATCTATAAACCGTGTCCTTGAGGTCTGAACCTGAGATGTTTCTCTACAGCTGTGACTGGTTATTCCAAGTACAGCATGCCTTAGATCCATGGAAATGAACTACAGGCTCATCCTTGGAGGAACATGCATTCGAAGAGGCTTCTTTTGCATGGTTTTATATTTTTCACCCAATATATGGTATTTGTATGCCTTTGCAAAATATCTCTTAGCTCTGCAGCTTAACACGTGTAGAGAGCGAGCTGATGGAGATGTCATCAGAAATGATTTCTGGGATGGTGTCATTGTTGGAGGAGGAAGAAAAGTGTCTTGAATGGCAACTAGCTCACAGTTCGTTAAGAAACCACAGCCTTGGCCTCCTTAGCTCCTTCCCTAATCAGTTGACCAAGCAAACCAACAATCTAATGTTCGAACACTAGTTGTGCATTTCCTGGGTGGCGGAATACCCCCAGATAAGCCAGATCAGTTCACCAAATATCCTCCCAACAGACTCTAATAGGCAAAGAGACATTCCATTTCTGGAAAAAGCCTTTTCCTCTTAGTTTTAATACAATTATTGCTGAAGGTTCCATTCTAACTGGGAAACTGAGAAGCTTTAGTCATTAAGCAGCACAAGATACATTGAAGTATTTTTTCTCCCATCTCTGACTTGGAGGATGATAGGATGCTTTGTTCTCAGAGTCCTGGTCTCCACTGTTGAATGGAAATAGTGTCTGTCAATATTCAGTAAGTTACTCACTCCAAACTGTAAGAAGCAAGAAAGAACTGCCAACTACCTACAAGTCCAAGTATATCTGACATGGTCATAGAATGCCCCCAGCTTAGAAAATCGATGTTTTTATCATTTGTTTTTATAGTATCAGAGTAAGTCAAGTCCTATAAGCAAAGTAAAGTGAGGTGTTGTATCTGTCATGCTGCTTCTTGGCCATGAAAACTTGATCTCCTCAAGACTCAGTTTCCTTATGAGTAAAATAGGGATATTCCCCTGCCAACCCACAGGTACAAAGTTCAAGTCGAATAACAGATAGATGCATAATAGAATGTATTACTACTACACATAAAACGTTATTATTTCTGGTTCCTAGGAAAAAGCTCAGGGGAAGGCTGAAGTATGTAGCATTTGCACCTTATATTTATTTTAGGCTTTCTATAAAACCTGAATAAATCTTGTTTCATCCACATATTGACCAAACCTAAGTTTTACTGATAACTGTCCAAATCCCAAAAGTGGTTAATACCAACCATGAATAGATTAAGAAAACAGACACAATTTCTTAAAAATTAAGTTATATGTCATAGACATATATCACTTCATAAATGAGCTTATGGTCTTCATTTAAAGATTCATTAAAACTCACAGAAAAGAAAATATAAAACTATTTCAATGTGAGGGGCTGTTTTTATTTACTTTTGATTATTGTGTTACCACTATCCTCCCCCCCTCATTTTCCCAGCATCCTGTCTTTAAGGATTAAAGTAGAAACCTAGACTTTGGAAAGACCTCTTCCTCTCTGCAAGTGACTGAAACAAGCAAACAGATGGAAACTTCATTAAAACATTGCAGGTGCTAAGAGAAACATGAGAATGAGAGACAGTGTATCTAGTAGCTAAGAGCTAAGGCTCAAAGTTGGGTTAATTTGCCTTGGAATCCCAGCTTTGCTGCCCTGCACTGTGGCTTTGATAGGCATCTTGACGTTCCTGAGCCTCTGTTTCCTTATCTTTGTAACGGAACTGTACCTGCCTCACAGGGATGTGGTCTCGATTAGATGGCATCATGCGTGCGCAGTGCTCAGCACCGTGACTGGGCGTGGGTCCCTTGGAAAGCCCAGTGCGCCCAGTTCTACTCGGTGGCAAATGCTGTTGACAGTGATTTCTGAGGCATGGTTTTAAAAGCCAAAGATTCCTGTCAGAATATGTAGGTCGTACACATTAATCATCAAGGTTTCTAGTAAAATAGATATTTTGCCTCTATCAGTTATGTCACATGGAACTAAAACTAAAATTGTTATATATAGAGAGTGTGTGTTAACCAGAGTTCTGATTTTAAATTGGCATTCTGTAATACTTTAAGTGGCTAATGATGCTGCATTTTATTCCCATGTTCATAATTTACCACGTGAAGAACAGCACACATTTGGGGATACTGGATTCTTAATTGTAGAATTAATAATTTTATGCCTTAACACTGTGTAACTTACTGAGCATACAATGCCTTTTCTCTTCCACTAATAAAATGTATCCCAATTCTTGAAGATTTTTGTAATTCAGGTTCTTATAAGCCTAGGTATAGTGAATAGAAAACAATAACTTTTAATCTGCTTCTGAAACAAGAAATTGACATATCCTAGTGCCTTTTAGAATCTAGATACAAGCACAGCAGTGAACAGAGGTGAGAGGACCCCTTGCCCTCATGAGCTTTGGTCTTTTTTCTGGTTTGCTCTTTGGGGTGAGCTGACATAGCTACAAAAATAGATGCACAAAAATTCACCAATTTTGATAAGTTTTTTAAAAAATGCATTCTCATATGACAGTTGCCACAAAACAATCTAACAAAAATTGTTTTGAATAAAGATAAAGACAACTAAGCAGTGCTAGAGCCACCTTACATAAAAAAACCAAATTAACATTTTTGGCCAACCCAATATCTTATCATTACCAAATATCTGCTTTTTAACTGAAGCAGTGAATAACCATTGACTACAGTCTTACTGGCAGCTGAATTTTGTAACCAAAATTATTTTTTATCCTATTTTTTTAGGTGAAAAAAAAAGTGAGTGTGTAAAAGGAGCACAAGAGGCATTTCCTCAAATCTGCATCAAGATGGAAACGTTTTGCTTCAGGGTGTCCTTTTGGGTGGTGCTGCTTGGATGTGTAAGTAGTGATAATCCTGAGAACTACAACGCAAATCTCAGCACTGGTGTGGAAGATTTTACCACTTTTCATGGGACAGAGCTCAGCTTCCTGGCTACCACCCGTCGACCCTCTAAGTTGGCCCTACCCAGCAATGGCTCCAAGCACAACTACTGCCCGCAGCAGACTAAGATTACTTCAGCCTTCAAGTACATTAACACTGTGATATCTTGTACTATTTTCATCGTGGGAATGGTGGGGAATGCAACTCTGCTCAGGATCATTTACCAGAACAAGTGTATGAGGAACGGCCCCAACGCGCTGATAGCCAGCCTTGCCCTCGGAGACCTTATCTATGTGGTCATTGATCTCCCTATCAATGTGTTTAAGGTAGGACATCACCACAGGTATTATTTGCAAGTTTGAACCTATGCTTTGATTCCACAGTAAGAGAGTTGCTGCAGATTTTTCTGAACCTCTGAATTTTAGTCTCTGTTTTTACTGAGAACAATTTCTGCTATCTTACAACTAGCGGTATTTTAAATTTTCATTATTTGTTAAATGTTACACTTCTTTTCTAACTTAATTGCTAGCCAAATAGCATTTTGGGAATGACTCTTCAAAGTTGTCTTTCATGCATCGGAGTCTCATGCCATCCCGGAGCTTGCTGAGTAGATGGGCAATCTTGGGGCGATCACTTGATTTTTCTGAGATTCGATTTTTCAGAGTGAGACCTCCTGTGCCCACAAAGTATTTAAAATATATTCAGTTGCAGTTACCTTTTTAAGGTGATGCTGTTCAGAAGCCCGACATCCACAGTGTGGCTTGAAAGGAAGAGCAGCTAGTTTATTCTGACAGTCTCGACTGATGGTTGGAGCCACAGCACATGCTGGCTTTCCTCAGTCACCTGGGCAACTTAGAGACAATGGGGTCCACGTGACCGCAGGCCAGGGTTGACCTCAGTGACTAAACCGTTTAAAGGAGGCATCCGTGTACTGTTGCCTCCTTCGCTTCCTCCGTTTACATTCAGAGAGTGCCCACTGCGTGTCCTCCCCAAGCTGGGCAACGGGATCCAAAAAGGCAAATGAGACCAAGTTAGTGCCCAAGTGGGCAAGGACATAGCCAGCCCACTGTTACTGTTGTCTCCTTGCTTTCAGGACTGTTTAGTACCAAAACAAATGGAAGCCAAAAGGAGTTAGATAGTCCATATTTGGTCTTGTGATTGTGAGGGGAAACTTGCTGCAAGAATGCAAATGAACTAAAATTCAAATACAATCATGATCTCTGCCAGATACTATGGAATGTCGGTATTCTAAGGCCAGGAAAAGTTCTTTCCTCGGCCTTTATTTTTTCTTCTGTGTATTATCTATAAAAATGAAACTATTGTGCACAGTCATATTTTGAAATAGGACTTTAAATGGCAAGTTTTGTCAATTCAGACATAACTTTTAAGTTTCCAATAGATACACTTAAACTGTGGCAAAATATCCTAGCCACAGTTTATCTTTGGACCAGAAAAATCAGTGGTCCAACAATAATGATGTAAGCAATGGTTACAATTTTCAACACTACAAATAAAAAACATTGCAGATTACACAGTAGCCTGCAAAATTGGGGAAATTAGACAACAAATAATTTTTTAAAAACATCACATACCATCTCTTTCCACGGAATACATAAATACATGTTTTCTATTTGAAGTTCAAATGGGATATTAGAACCAAACGATGCAAAATGAAAATTTGTAATTTAAAATGTTTAACATATGCTACAGAACTTTTTTTTTCCTTTAAAAGGTAATTTTCTCTTTATGAAGTATTAACGTGTATTCAACACTTGACTTTCTCAAGACTTATTTCTTAAACAGTAGATTGGAAAATGTTATGACTCATTCAAAATTTGACTGTTCAGAAGTCACTGTATGGAGTATTAAACATTGATTATTCATGCTTCCACACCAGTTAACCAACCTATTATGGCTCAGGAGAATAATTAACCCTCTCTGAACTAATAATCCCTATTTCACCATATGCAAATCAGTTTCTTGGCAAATCAATATCTGCAACTGCTGGGAAGGGGACTTGCATGTCGCTTTAAGGTGTTATCTGCCAATCACTAGACCAAACGTCTTTTCTACTGCATAGCAACATTTTTAAGTGAGATCATCTGGACTATCTATCTACAAATTTGTTGAAAATCTGAAAAGAAAATCCTTTGTTTTACATTCATATAGTAATGGATAAAAAAAAAACACCACATTCTTATCTGACTATATGGTTCTTACCTCTTGGAAATCCAATGCGGTCTGCCCTCTATAGCCACAGGTTCTGCTTAGGCAGATTCAACTAACTACACATTGAAAATATTTAGAAAAAAAGTTACATTGTTGCTAACATGACTCTGTAGTTAGGCGTGCCACAGTCATGTGTATATTGAACATAAACAGGCTTTTTCTTCTTATCATTACTCCCTGGGACACAATACAGCTTGACAGCTATTTATATACATTTACATTGTGCTAGGTATTATAAGTGACCTGGATGTGACTTAAAGTGTACAGGAGGAGGTGCCCAGGTTATATGCAAATACTATGCCATTTTATGTAAGGGACTTGAGCATCCAAAGGTTTGGGTATTTGCAGGGCTCCTAGAACCAATCCCCCATAGATACTGAGGGGTGAACATACTGTAATACCTACTGTAGTTTTAAATAATATGGACAGTGTGACTGTTGTGTTTTTACATCACAGGTATACATTGGTGTAATTCCTGTTTTCTAAAACATATGTAATGAGTCATTTAACCAACATTGCTTTTAGAAAGTAAACCTTTTGGTTTCAACAAAAACTACCCTTTAGTCATTTCTGTCTTTTCCCAGAGGAAAAGAGAAAAGCATTGGAGGGAGCTGAAAAGGCGTCTGCTGTCTGGGGGCTGTGTCTCCTTCCTCAGGCCTCTTCCCTAGGTTAGGAGGCGTTGGTGCTCCTCTGACTTCAGTCCAGGAGAGTCAAGAGGGATCCTTCCAAGCAGTGTGGGCACCAGGCCCTCACGCCTTTTCTCCATAGCTGCCTCCTTCTGTAAGACTCTGCTGCTTTGGGGTCTCACACATCAGACCTGTGATTCCTCTCGAACCATGTGAAGCTGCCTCTTCAGGGCAAAGTAGCAATTGTCCATCTTGTTTTACTACTATGTTTAGGTACATATGAAATGAAAATAATGTGTAGACTTGGAGAACATGCTATTAACTATTAAAAGGAGGCATGGAGCTCCTTTATTGCCCCCACCCTATTAGAAGAATTGGGTTGAAAGAAGAATGTGAAGGTATTTGCTCTGCTCTTCAAAGAATGATGAGTTTTCAGAGCACACAGGTCATTGTGTTTAACGATTCTCTCAATTGCTGGTATACTCAGCTCTAAGGCGTCCAGGCAGGGAAGGTTACACTGAGTCATAGCAGAGTCAGCATGAGTGGGAGGGGCCCCTGAGGAGAATCTTCGGGCAAGACAGACTTGCTGATTGGACTGCAGTAACGTTACAAGTGATAAAGTATTCTTTCTGGTCGCATTTTCTTCCCTTTCTCTCACTTTGAAAGAAATGGTACTGAAAGTGTTCCATATATGAATGTGATGTAAAACACAACTGAACAGCAAAGCCACTGGGCTGTTTCTGATGTCTTTATCCCGCTCAGCTAGTGCAGGGCAGTGCTGGATGTTCTGTGGGCATGGAAGAGCGGACTCACTCCACACGATTCCAGAAATATCCAAAAGATCTCTTTGTCTTCAGGGGTTCCTCCCTCTAGCCTGTCTGCACTGTGCTTCTACTTGTGGGGTGTCCTTCTACCCAGAAACACCCAGGAGCTCCCATGGTGAGCAGCCAAGGCCCTCCCGACTCTGGACATAACTTAAATTACGTCTTAACCACTCCTCAGCATGCATGCTCAGCTCTTGCTGGAATGCCGTCACTGTGCCTTCGAAGTAACATGCTGTGCCCTAAATAACATTCGCCGAGAGGCTGGATGTAGTCCCTGAATTGCTGCTGCTGAGGCATTTACAGATTCTGCATTGAAAAATGAGTTAATCTGGAGTTATATACGCTGCATTGAGAAAAAAAATAATAAACCAAAGAATGGAAAGGAGCTCTTCTGACCCTTTCACATACGCAGACATGTTGTATTAACTGGTGACAAAATCAGGCAGTCTGGGAGAAAATGTAAAGCAGAAGGATCCTAAGAGAGCAAATGCATGCCCGTTCTCAAGCATCAAAGGGCCTTGCAAGTGGCAGTATTGAAGAAAAGCTGTTGCTAATCTTATCAAAGAATCACTGTAATTTTTAATTGTTAAAAAAAAAACCCACTAATTTCAAGAGAAGACAGAAAAGAACAGGAGGGAGGAAGGGAATCAGTTAGCAGACCCTTTCAAATACCCACACTTATAAACAGATGATGGGTTCAATTTGTCAAGAAATGACACAATCTGATATCTTGAATTTTTAAGAAATGCAAAAACTTAGCCATGTAAATTAATCTCTATGTGAAATACATGCATTCATTACTAAGCAATTAAAACACTATATCTGTATTTGGGGACCAAAAATAATGCCCAATTACTTAATGACAGTATAGATTAGAAGTATAGAACTTAATAATTATATTCTTTAATGATTCATAAGATTCTGTTTGTGTCATGGAGTTTGTCCATAGGGAGCTGGGTTATAATTTTGAATAGAGTAGAAACACTAGAAGTGATGTTTGTACATGGGTGGGCCAGAGCTTGGTACCATGTGCTTCAGCTCTTCCATATGTGCACGCAGAGACTTGGCCTAGCAAATAAAACAGAAATGTGGAGAAATACATGTAAGAGAAGTAGAGTGGAGAAGGTTAGAGCGATGGCCATGGGAAGAAGGACGTTGAGTCTGGTGACTTGATGGAGGAATCTCTGATAGACGCAGCGGGGAGTCGGAACTCGTGATGTCAGAGATAGTACTGTGGGTGAACAACGCCTTCACCGAACACGCGGGGTACAGCAGACCTGGGAAGACGAGCCCAGCGGCCAGTGAGAGCTTTCAGTAACTGGCTGTTGGTTACTAGTTGGGTCTAATCTAAGTAACCACCTTTTGTTGAGGACAGCAATGAAAAATAAACATCCAATTTCTGTATGAAATGATCAGGAATATTCTGCAGTGGGACGTCAAGGCTCCCAGTATGTTGCTCTGGCAGAGGACCTGAGAAAGGTGGAGACCAGAGAGGCTCACACAGGGCCAGTTGTCTGGTATCCACATAGCCTTTGGCATCTTGTGCGACCAGGGTCCACCCAGTCAGGGCAGCTGTACGAAAGCTGTTTCTCCACACACCACATCAGCAAGGCGGTTAACATCTCAAAAAACAAATGCCACAGCTGA